CAGACCTGCTGCTGCATGACGGACAGCTGCTTCTCCAGCTGCTCCAACATCTGCAGCTGAGGAGGCTTCAGGCAGCTCCAGTTTTTCCGCAGATGATCCAACAGCTGAAGAACGTTACAGGCATTAATCAGCTTCTCTGAACGTCCCTGAAACTATCCGAACCAACAGGGTCTCTGCCTACCTGGAGCTTCTGAGGCGTTAGACACCAGCCAGGGATCTGCTGCTGATTGGATCCATTGGCCAGCAGGTCCGCGGCGCCCTGAGAACCAGACCAAAACAAGCCGGCATGAGAACCCCCACCCAGCAGCTGCCGAACCCCCCACCACCACCTGCAGTACCTTGGCTGGGCTGGCAGTGCGCTTCCTTTTGGCCGGGCTGGCCTGTGGGTCGGAGTGGCCGCCGGCAGACGGGCCTCCCTCACCTTTACAGGCCTGGAATCCAGCAGAGACAGAGCTTCAGAGGACAAACCGCACCAGACAGGAAGCACCCAACATCTCCACTGAAAGACCATGGCGGTACAACATCCACATGCAATCAGATAGAGGGGAGCCCCCCCACCTGAGCTACCGAAGCAGAGGATGAAGCAGGAAGGGGAGCAGTGAAAAGAAGCCGTCCGTCTTCAGATTCTAGACCCAAAATACCCAGAAGCTGATGTCTAAATAGGACTTTTACTGCAGGTCCATCAGATCCAGCCTCTAAGAGGAAGAACTGAAGCTGTGATCGTTCCAGATTCCCTCTGAGCTACGATCTGATTCACTGCTCTGTTAGTGGGGGGGAAGCTGAGGGGAACCACCGCCATCCAACGCCTTCAAAACATTCCTGCAGCCAACATCTAACTTAGAAATGGCCTCATCAGTCTGGAGACGAAGGGAAAGGATTCCCACTTTTCTGAAAGTTCTCCAACAATCTGAGGAAGGAAGGAGGAACATTGGATCCAGCCATCTTCACTCCAACCCTCAACATCACTGGAGGCCGTCTGCAGGTCCAGCTGTTCAGCTGGTGGCCTGATGGAGAACATCAGAGGGAAGCCAGCCTCACAGCGTCTGGAAGCAGGTTCCAAGCTTAGGAACAGGAAGGCCTCCTGCCAGCAGGGGGCGTGGCAGGCAAACAGGAGGAAGAGGACACGCTGGTCAGATGTCCCTGAACACTTCACCCCACTGAAGCACGGTGGGGGAAGCATCAGGCTGTGGGACATGATGGGTGGAGCAGTCATGCAGCAGACAGCCAGAGCTGCAGTGGGATGGTCCATGGGTTAGAATGGCCTAGTTAAAGTAGAGACACGACGGAAGACCAAAACTCTACAAGTCTGAACATAGAAAAACATCAATGAACTTCAATAGATCTAATTCAATGTTGTCTAGAATAGATCTAGAATAATCTGTCTAGATTAGATATAAGAGTAGCACATCTGCAACAGATCCAAGTTGTCTAGAACATTTGAACACCGTCTAAAATAAATCTACACCAGCATCTAGAATAGATCTACACCAACACCATCTAGAATAGATCTACACCAACACCATCTAGAATAGATCTACACCAACACCATCTAGAATAGATCT